GTGTTTGCTTTTGGTTTTAGCGCCTGCTAAGATACTATTGATGGCCAGTCAAGTAATGTCACCAGACCGTTTTTGGTCCGGCCTCACTGTGGCACTTAGACGATGAAAGCCGGTCCTCAGTGTCCCCCATCCGGCAACAAGTGCAGCCCCCTGTCAGCGCCACCCTGCAGGAGGAGGCAGATCAGCCTGACTGACGTAAGTTGTGTGGACAGATACAATTTCAGCCTGGCAACACAGCCAGGATCTGGCAACCCTTCTCTGTGTTTACCTAAAGGCTAAGGCAGCTGAGCCCAGACCTCACCTGCTGGCCTCACTGGTTGCAATGAATGCTCACATAATCCCACTAAGTCCATGCATACCCAGAGCCGCTTCTTGTGCTAAAAGCTCAGAGTCCCTCCCTCTCTCTAAGACCTCCACTCGATTAAGAAACAGTTTGTGCGACGATCACTTTTTCCATGGCAACTTTGGATAACTCCATTCTGCGGAGGAAAGTTCCCACCCCTCTCTTGTTACACACACATACGTACACACACCCTTTCATTTCTATACCCACTGTCTCAGTCACACTTTACCTGTCACCTTAAACTAAATTCCTTTAAGTGTCACAGTCTTTAAGATAGCCTTCACACTACAGGCTCAGTTCTTGTTGATATCTGATGTTTGTGGAATATGATGTAACCAATATCTGATTAGCAATATGAACAGATTTTAGCAGATGTCCAAAATGCATTTTTAACACCTACCTGTTTTTGGATTGTTTCCATCACATTTCAGTTTAACCAAATTATAATCAAATCAGCTATTTCTGTATGCTAACATTGGATTAGCAGCAGAGATGACAGCTGCTGCAGGTGAATGTTGTCACATTTAGTTATTGCTGTGGCATCAAGGATAAATTCAGATTTCCTTGTATTTGGTATTGGTATGGGATTGTGCACACTATCTGTGTCTGAAGCTCAGAACTAGGACATTTAACTGATTCATTTCTCAAATATATACTGTACATTGGGATCTAATTTAAAAGGCCAGGTAGAAATGGTTTCCGTTGTCCTCACTAATCAGATGTGATGGTAAATCTTTAATGGGATATTAGAAGCAGTGACAGTCTAGCTTATTTTATTTTTTTTTCTGTTTCTGTGTTGGGCGACCCCTTGTGTGAGCAGACACCCTGCATCTTGGGGGATTAGTAGGAAAATATAGATCCACCATCAGGGATTTATTAATGGAGGCTGTTTCTCTCCACAATGGGCTGATTCATTGATGACGTCCCGTGCCGTGAGACGATGAGGTCATTTTATGGATTCTTTCAGGGTGGACGTCAGACTGGAATGGTGAGAACATGCAGTGGTCCTCTGCCTGGCCACCCCTGTGGAAACACACATATACAGAAACAGGACCACCACAGGATTCACACGGTCGAGCCTTCTTCATTTCATTACATTTAAGTGCTGAGTGCTGCCATAATTTATAGCTCACACAGAACAAGAACAGGGCTCTGTGTATGTGTGTGTCTGTGTGTGTGTGTTGGGGGTGTGACAAGAAGGGTCACTGACCTTTGTGACTTGGCTAAAATCCCCATGGGCCTAATTCAGCATTGGAATGGACCCCACAGCGCAATGGGAAGATGCCTCCAACATAATGAACACAAAGGCCAATTGTGACGCTATTCTCTGCAGGGCAGAAAGCAGCGGGCCCCGGGGACAGTAGAAGGTTTTGTTGGCTGAAACAGAGAAGGAAGCCTGTTGCTTCAACAAGCCTCTGATAAGATTCATCAGCGGTGACTCAACTGTGGCAGTTTGTCTCCCGGGGCGCAAAGTGTTAGATTTACATCCACTGTATTTATCTGCACTTGTTGACTGAAGTGCTGATAAGTGACTCTCATAGGCCAAATCAGTGTCTTTTATGTGTTATATTGTTTCCTCAAAAATTATACAGTGTCTCTTGTGTCCTGAGAGGTTCTCATGTCAGTGTGTGTTATAGTCAGTGCATCAAAATGGACCATTCAGTGATCAAGTATTGTTTCTTTTACTGTCAAAAATCTAAACAAACTGGTGCGTCATGGTGCTTCAGTGGTTGTAAAGACACTGAGAAAATAACAGTAATAGGTAATAGATTTACTGTGCATGCATGAAAAATTATATTAAGACAGGAAAGTATTGTTCAAATCTGGTTAATTAAAAAAATCAAAGCCATGACACAATCCCAGTAATCAACATATAAGAATATTACTTTTGTTATATTGTAAAGCTCCCAAAACATTTATCTCAAGAGCTCTTATATAAAATAAATAATTTTTATATACAATTAAATATTCATTAATAAATAAGCAACAATCAAAATAAAAAGCTAGAAGAAAAAAAAAGTTTATTATATATTAAAAACGTACCACTAAAAAACTATTTTGCTTCAGCATGACTGAGAAATTATATTTTGATTATAATATTGATATATTATAATATTTATAAACTGACTTGTGCACAGAAATAGGCGACACCAGCCAGAGCTGAGAGGAAACACGGAATTAAGAAAATCAGTTTGAACTTTGCCAGAAAATGTCGTGTTCATGTGGGACTCAATTTCCCAGAGTAAAGAAGCTGATTAAAAAATCTTTTTAGGGCCTTTAATCAGTCACTTTTATCAAAATCTAATTACAGACAATTAGTAAGCAAACTGAAATTGAAAATACTACTTTTAGAGCTTAACAGATTCTGTTTTATTCTGGGAGGATACTCCACTTCCACTTGCTCCACTACACAGGAATATATCTTTCTCTTTGTGTTGTTTATGACTTTGTTAGCTTCCTGACTAACAAGAGACAATGAATTAAACAATCTCTAAAGTGGACTTCTTAAACCACTATAGTTATAACTATAGTTGGTAAAGGCCCACCTGAGGATGGTTTGAAGCAGCTGTGCAGTGCCCAACAGCCAATTTGAGTCAGGATCCCATCAGTTGACAGCCATGTACGTTAATCTGGTTGCCAGAATCTCTGCCTCTCCCACAACCTCAACCGACAGCTCGATAACAGAGGGAACAGAAAGACGAGAACAAAGCCAGCATCGCCAACAAGAAGGCAAACAAATGCTAACACTGCTGCTACTGCCAAAAAACGCCCATCCCCACAATTTATTGCCCTTTTCTAAGACTTATTCAACGTTTTCATCATATACCGGCCCGCCACACCCCCTGCCAAAAGAACCCAGAATGTGTCTGTGTGATGAGGTGGGGGATTAAAAAAACGAAGAAACAAGATCGGCCTTTTCTTTTTCTTAAGAAAGACTAGAAATGAAGCTTTGTGCACGTCCGCTGCTGTGGCATATTTGAAAGGTCTGGCCCGGCTGCTTTTGTGTCACCAGCATAAAGGGGATTGGGGGAAAACACAAACTGAACCACTGTGCCGTTGTGGCTCTGGCTATTAGTCAACGTGACGGTCTTTGCAGATGCTAATGGTGTATAGTGTGTCCCTGCCGGCCTCCCTCCTCCCAGAACGTGGCTATCTGATAGCACAAAGGCCTTCAGCTGAAGGTTGACTTTTCCCCCTTTCTTTTCATGGCTGCTACAAAGTCATTAGGCTTTTTTCACTCCTTTTCCCTTGTTTTTAAGAAAACAGGGGAATAGAATAGCCACACAGAAAACAGAAAGTTGACATGAGGCAGTTATCTCCATGTGTAAAGCCTCAGGTGATGGTAGTGAGGATGAGGCCTGCCTCCCCCCTACATCCCTCCTCCCCACTGTGCTGCCCTTAGAGCAATGTGGAGATGAAGTAACAACCGGGCTCTTGTGAAAGAAGAGAGGATGCCCAGGAGTGGAGGACCTCTGGACTCTGACTTATTAATCAGCCAGGCCCTCAGCTGCCTGTCTGCCTCTCCCTAGCTGCTGCCTTAAGGCTGCAACATGTCTTCAGCCTGCTCTGGGTTTAAATAACAGCCTGCAGAGTTAAATACTCTGAGGGTTTGCCCAGACCTGGGGCAGAGGCCTCATCACATCAGCACACAGGTCACTGCATCCAGAGGCAACCAGCTGTAGGATAACAGCAAACTATGTAATGGAAACACACTGCAATTTCCCAGCTTGGGATCAATAAAGTATATCTATCTATGTACATGCAACACAACTCTACAAGGATGAGTGTGAAGCAACGCATCAAAGGTGATTGATTATTTTTAACATGCCAGCTTGTTATTTAACTGAAATATCTCAACAACTATTAAACACATTACCCTGAAATTCTGATTCTTTATCCCAAGAGGATGAATTGTGTAAGCATTGGTGATCACCTAACTTGACCGTTAGTACACACCACTAACTATGTCACTGAATTTGGTGAAACTTTATCATATTTTATGGAGCAAGAGTTTTCTGATGGAGCGATTCTTGCTTTCCTTGTTGCTGAGGTAACTGCTGCTAACTGTTGCTGCTGTTACTTAGTTAGCAGCACTACCCAGACTGAGAGCTCAGAGCACAGGATCATAAGTAATGTAACAAATGCACATGTACAGCTGCCCATTTTTATGACACTGGTGCAAGTGAAAACTGTAAGGCCAAATTGCAAAAATACCAAAATCTTGCATAATGTACATTTAAAAACTTCATGTCTATGTTGGTTAAGAAGTTAAAAAAAAAAAAACAGTTACTGTTTTGTTCACTGTTTTCAAGGTCAAGAAAGATCTTGGAACCTCAACCTTTTAAGCTGACATGGATGAGAATTCCTTAACAAGCTCAATGATATAACTAATTGACTAATAACTGAAACTGAATCTGCGAATGAAGATCTTATATGGAAGCGCTACTAAATGGACCTTGAGATGAGATTGTTTTGTCAGCTTTCATAATTTTATCTAAGTCTCTCACAGACTAAAGGTTCAGGGAAATGGACATTGTTCAAAGCAACAATCAAAAAACTTCTAATATTGAACTGGATGACAATGACCTCAACAGCAGGAGACTTTAAAATGTGCAAATAGGTTTAACTGACTGTGACTGGAGAAGCTGACACGTCATAAAAAAGGTCATTTTTATTTATGTCAATTTTATTTTCACTTTTTTCTTTTAAACACAAATTTAATAAATAAAGCACATCTGATGGGGTACACCATGCAAACATTACTTTCTACAACATAAAACATTTTTTGAACCAACTCACCGGTTTTCTGTTACACAAGTGGCTCACTCTGCATACACGTGCTGTACATGATAGTGACTCCATGACTTCCCATTAACTGTACCTGTACAGAATGCACGGCGTATTATATATATATACCCATATACACATGAATGCATGAAAGAACAGGGCTAACAGAGTCTCTCACTCCTCATTTAGTCGAACATCCGACTGTTTTTATAGCTAGGAAGAGTGAGTGGGGGTCTACATGGGTGATGGAAAGAGTCAGAATAGTCGAAATGGTGGAGGTGCAAAGAGAGACGATGCGAATTAAGCGGTTGAAGAGGAAAATGAGGAAGAAGCACAAGATTGAGAGCATTGTGAAAACATCTGGCCCTGGACAGTGACTTCTAAAAGAGTTTAAATTAACTAGCATGTTGGATATTTTCATTCTTTCTTAACTATGTGGACAATTCCTGTTAATTTGCAAAAGGGAGATAAATATTTCTGTAGTTTTTTGGGTGTTTGGTCTCATTCTCTGAAGTAGCAAGAGACATAAGATCTTAACTACCATTAAATCGCAGACAGGAGAGAAAAAGTGCATGAGTACATGTATGGAGACATAACTGGTGTGCCAAATTAACAAAGGACATTAAACCTGGTGCAGATTGGAAACGCTTCAAGACAACCCACCAACTCCTGTGTAACTGGACCAACTCGTAAAGACAGACTGGATATTAAACTGGGAAAGACTAAATCCCTGGTCCAAAGTGGAGGACTGACTGACGGTGGCGTAGCTTTTCAAAATCAAATTAAATATACATCTAAACTGGTTGATAATGTATTTTTAAACCGTTAAAGATGTTTTTAACTGATGATGTAATATGGCTATTGAGTAACCTGTTAAAAACAGCACTTTGCTTTATGTGTCTAAATGATCTACAAACATTCTGCCTTTATTTTTAATTACATTTTAAATCCATCTATCTATTATTTGTTGGATGTTGTTATTATCTGTCAGTTGCAACACAGGGAGAGTACAGATGAAATGTTAATGTACAATAATGGAGGTGCAAACATCACACACACACAGAAAGACAAAGACAGAAACATAAAGGTAAGTTAAGTACATTTGGCAGACATATAAACATAGTATTGTCAAATAAACCCCATTAGATCAAAATAATGAGAATTAAGTCTATACATAGTATTGTTTCCAACTATTTCAAAGCTGATCCTGTTAATTTGTTGTGGTTGTTGTGGTGTTACAATGAAGAGTGTTGACTGGAGGGAAGCTGCATATTGAACCAGGTAGTTATTCTCGATTCTAAAGGCTGAGGTTGAGAACACGCATCTCATTTAGAGGGTACATGTGGAGTTAATGTAGAGTACACCTGCAGCTTGGATGGATGACTTAAGTGCTTTGGATCCTAAGTGCAACTAAAAAAAAAAAAAACTTCTTTTGTACCAGGTAGGTATCATGGCGTATTTTAGGAGCACCAAGCGAGATAAATGTATGAAACTCCAGGCTACTTCACCCATCAGCAACAGTGACAATGGTGATTCTTTGTAGAGTTCAGTGAAGACACACACTCTTATAATCAGATATACACAGAGACCATCAGCTGAAAAACACAAAAAACCAAGAAAAAAAAAAAAACTGGGGAGATAAACATGTACACAATCCTCATTTATTGAAAATGAGCAGTCAGATGTCTGACAACACTGTGCAAGCTTCTCATTTTCCTCCTGATCTGACTGTTTGGGCTCCTGTGCAGAAGTCCCCCAGTTAACAGGACAGTTCACAAGACAAAAGAAAGAAAATGGAAAATCAAACAGAAAGCTTGACAACTGTTCCTCCATCTTATCCTTCTGTCAAGGTCCATCTTTCCGTCAGAGCCGAAGGGGTACAGGAAGCCAAGCGTTGGGTATTAAAATCAGGTGAGTGGTGGGGCAGGGCCAGGGGGTGATGACGGTCATTTACAGATTTAGTTGTCTTTGTTCAGTGCATTTCTCTGCTGTGATCCATACATTTACTTTCAATAGTTCTGTAAAGAAAAGGGGAGAAGGAACTACAGATCAGATACACGTACAGTACACAGTTACTGTTATTTACTATTATTTCAAAATTGTTCAATTCACAATCCAATAATACTTCTATTGATTTTAATTTGCTGCATTGCTGATGATCATTTTAGTACAGGTAACTGCTGAATACCTGGTTCTCTTATTTTTCCTTGTGAAGAGCTTCTATGAAGGCTTCAAGTTTCTCCTGGATCTCACGAACTTTCTCTGCAGAAAAGCACACAAACCAAACAAGACTGGTTAGTCAAAGCTCTGATAAATCCACAAAATATTGACAAAAACCAAACACACTGAAAACAATGTCAATTAACTAAACAAACACAAAACAACAATTTTAGTAATTCATTAAATATTTAAGCTAAAGATTTACTGCTTTTCGTCTATGAGAGTAATCTGTACAGTTGAAATAATTAGTTATTTGATTGACAGAAAATTAATCAGCAAACACTTTAGTGACTGAGTAACGAATAACAACTAGAAAAGCCTCTCAAATATGAGGATTTGTTGATTTTCTGTTTTTTAAATCATTGTAAACCCTTGATCTTTTCGGATTATGGTCAGACAAAACAAGATTTTTTTAATTATAGATCAAATGATTACTCGATCATCAGGGAAACAGCTGACAGGTTCCTTGATAATGGACATAATCATTAGTTGCAGCCCAATACATTACCAACGATTCTGGTCACTAAAACATAAAAAGTACTAAAGCAACATTCTTCCTTTTTTCAACAAGGCTGCGCGCACTGGCACAGCGGCTTTGCTAGCTCTAGAGCGGCACTACAACACAAACTCCATGATCAAATCGGCAAACGAGACTACAGCGACAGCGTGAGAAAGCATACAGGCAGGAGGTGGACTTCCAGCGGGCTGTTGTACCAAGAACTTTTATTCACTTATTGTGTTTTTGTATTTTATTTGTCAACAACTGTATTGAAAACGTTCCTACTGTGTCTAATGTTATTATGTTGCACCACAGAGAGACTGGCAAACAAGACTTTTTGTTATACTGGACTCGTATAATAAAAGCTCATTAAAATAGGTGGCAGGTAATAAATCTACTCTTTAAACCGAGAACAATTAAACAATATTACCATCCCTACAGTATATTTGTGCAGGTGGAAATTCCCCCCACATTTTTCACCATAACACCAGCTGGTCCCGTCTGACAGCGACAGCCAAACCTCAAGGTAGACCACCTTCACCGTCTGATGGTGAAGACTTGTGTACCCTTTCCCAGTTAGCACAGACCACATCAAAGCTCTCACCCTCCCCTTTTCATGGTATGCACCTCACGGGCACGCTGCAAATGGACAGAAGAAGATATAACAACAACATTTACATGAAAGGAGGAGGGGAGGGTATCTACTGGAAAAAACAGTCAGTCACTTCTTTTCATGATTACACTCCTATTGTCCAGAGACTGCATAAGACGAGCAATCCCTCCACCCAACATGTACTGTCACACGAGATGAGCGAGCCATCTAAAGTAGTCTTAATCGCTGATTAAACAGTGGCTGAAGGAAGTCTGTGGGCCAACACACAGAGAAAAGGGAAGCAGTGGCTCGCAATGCCAGCTGCACCTCCAGGCCTGGCTGGCTCTCCAGCTTCCCTGTCACCCTCACTAATCTGTCTGGATCTCCCCCAAGCACAAACTCAAACACCGGCTCTGAAGAACAAACTAGCTCTGCTCTATCTTTATCAATCAGCCACACGAGATCCATAGGCGACCTATTGTCGATTGTTTTCCTACGAGGAGGCCCAATGGAAACACAGTTTTAAAAAAAAAGACCTGCCTGTTTTCAGGCAGATAAATCATTGTGGTTTTGGAGCTCAGAGCAACAGTGTCCTAAGTGTCCATTTCAGGTCGGCACAAAGGTGATAACTGTGTGCGTGCTTTGGAGTGAAACTAAATATCGTATTCAGGGGCTCGTGTGCAGCCCCCTTTTGATGGTAGCACGGCTGCTGAGGTATCCTTTTCCTGATGGATGAAAAGCACACGGCTGTGAGAGATGCAGGCACACCCCCACACACATCTTGAAACACTAGCAGAGCTGAGAACTGCTGGATAACACAAGAGGAGCTTATCCACACACACAGGTAGGCAGAAAAATAACTGACAGCCAGAAAAATTAACTGACAGCCAGAAAAGCTTTGACCTGAAAGACACACAGACCAAACCACCCCAATGTCTTGAAAACCAGCAAGAGCTGTACAGTCATGCCACCTCCACCTTTTTTCACCTTCCTACACACTCACCGCTGGCAGGTGGCGAAAAAAAAAAAATCCCCAGCCTTTGATACTCTGTTAACACACTCAGGCAAAATGGCAGGGCGTTAGGTGGAGATTACAACACCTAATGGAGGCATTAAGGGGGCCTGTCGAGGGGCATGCTGACAAGTCACTGCAGCAGGTGTGGGGTTGAATGAAACATAACCCTGCGGTACGCCATTCCAACACGCAGCCCACCGCAGGGCACGGCTCAAAGGCAACTGACTGAGTGTAGCTGCGTGGGCTGTGTGCCCTGACCACAGGACAACATAACTCAATCCAAGCCAATCAGAGCAGGATTACCAACATCTGTCAGACCTGAAGAAAAAGAGATGTGAGGTACAAGGGGTGGAGTTTTGGTTGGTGTGAGGAAAGGAGGGTACTGACTGTCAGATGGGAAATCCCCTGGCTCAAGCTTCAAAGCTTCTAACTGGGTTTAGATGTGGCTGATGATAAGTTTGTCTGTGGAGCCTCAGTGTTTCAGATGCAGACCGCTTAACGCGGGTTAAACATTAGGAATCCTACCAACTGTCAGGGCAGGGACAACGAGCTCTGCTAAATCACTGGGGGCTGCAGTGGTCTAGCGCTTAGATTAGAGGGCTTGTGATATGAAAAGACACAGGTTTACGTGGCCAAATTGGCTGGGAAAGCTTACGGTGGGAAGCTGAAAATCACTCTTTTTTTTCTTTAACACCTGCTGCTGAGGCAACGGAAACCCATCACTGATCTAGAGCTTTAGTTGAGCACAGCACAGAACTGTGATTGTACTGGACAGCACTTGTAATGTCAAGTCAAATTTACAGCGACAACCAAGAAGGCCAACAGTGCAGAAGTAACAGTAGCATAATTACATTTTGGAGAAATAAAAAGTAAAGTACATATTAGAACAAGTATAATCAGTTTCAAAATGTGAGTCAGAGAAGAAACTGCCAGAACAGAAAAACACATCAGCCACTCCCTTCCAGCGGGATGCTTAATGACTTTAAAATGAGCCCTCAGCAGCTTTTAGGAGCCCAGGAGGCCACCGGAGAATGTGAATGGCGTCTTTCAGAAAAGCCAATATTCTGTGGATAAAAACTGTGAGAAACAGATATTTATTTCCCCCAGCACCATCTGTTTGCCACCAAAAGACAGCAGCAAGAGGCCACAACAAGGCTTTTCTTTTCACCGTCCGTGTGGAAATGCAACAAAAAAAAAACAGTGGACAGAGTCACCATTGCCTGTTCCTCGCTGAGCAGCAGTGGGAGTAGCGATCTAAAACTCCATTTAGGCCCCTGTTTACCTAAGAGATGAGCCCCAAAACACAGTCATTCAACCGCTCACCCCTTTATCTGGTCATGAATATTCCCATAATCCTCTGGCCTCTATCCCAGAGGCCCCTTCTTTAAGATGCTGGGTGTTGTGTGGGTTGGCGAGGGTGGAGGGACTCCCGCCCATTGAGAGAGAGAGAGAGAGAGAGAGAGAGAGAGAGAGAGAGAGAGAGAGAGAGAGAGAGAGAGAGAGAGAGAGAGAGAGAGAAGGGAGCCTTTTCCCCCAATCCCCTCTTTCAAGGCCTTCTCTCGGCTGATCTCCACATGAAATGATATCTCATTCACTCTCACTCTGTAGAGTCCCCTAAGCCTGCTACGGCCGAAGCGCTGGCAGAAGGAGGGCTGAGTCCCAAAGCCTTTAATTGACCTGTAATTAGACTGTGAAACTGCGTGGCCCTGCTGGACAAGTAGCCAACACAGAGGAGAGGGAGAACAGAGGAGAGAAAAAGATGAGAGGGAGAGGAGAGAGAGAGGACAGGGAGGCCTGCAACTCACTGTGAGATAGAAAAAAAACTAATCCTCTTACTATGGGAGATGGCCACTCTTCTGTAAAGAAAGGGTGGCTGTTATGAAAAAGTGGCAACAGAAAGATTTCAGCGGATGAGGTTTGGTGCCAAGGTTTAGGATGCTGCTCTTAAAATTTTCTACTGGACAACCAAGCAACAGTTCACAGCATGGTCACTAGAGAGAGTGGGGCGGAGGGTTTGGTTCCTGTCCCAACATGTCATCATTCATGAGGAAACTTTTTATATCTCATGTCTGCCAGGGTCACACAGTGTAGGTGGGGACACTGACCGTTTAAACGCTCTGCTGTTTCCTTCTTTGAAAGCCGATCTCTTAATGTAACAAACAGAAACCTTTTCTCCTCAGCATGCTGCTTGATTTGTCACTAAATCTGGATTGTCACGCTATAAAAACCCGGGCCATGGGAGACATGGGCCGAGGGAGACCGCGGATGTCGACGGCCCAAACGCCATGTCAGTGACAGGGCAATGAATCAGCCCTCGCACTCATGGCTCTTATCTAGAAAACAGATGCCTGGGACTGAGCAGCCCAACCTGAGGAAAAAGATACGTAGGTCTGAACAGGTCAAAGCCTGGGGTCAGCCAGAGGGCAGACTAAACAAAAACAGCAAAATGCAGGGGAAAATACTTTGACAGAGCCAGGTGACGACTGTTAAGCTGTGTGGCGCAGATTTTAATGAGAAGCCCTGCTTATGCCTTTGAAGGGCCAGACATTTTTGAAGATTTTAGTGCACGGGGTCATAAAGATGAGGGTTGGATGTGGACTGTAGGTCTGATGGGTTTGACTATAACAGTAGAGAGAACAGACTAAGTGGAGCTTATCATCCAAATACCGTAGTGAACAGTCACAGTCACTTCCCATAGCCATTCTTAAAAATAAACAGGTCTGAGACGATAAGTCTACTTATGACTCCTGGTGTAAATCACAGAAAATCAGGGGTCTGAATTTTTCCAAGACCTTTTGTAGTCAAATGTAGCCCTGTGCTGAGGCTACATGGCAATCAATCTTGAGTAGCCACATGGGCCTGGGGATGAGAGGCTGACATGTCTGGTTTACACAGATATCCTGTCATAATCCCTCAGAGAAACTCGCCTTCTGCTG